TTATTGAACCTATTTCGATAAAATTTCAATGGCACTAATCTATATCTTTTCAAATAAAAAAAAATCCAAATCGGTTTACAACTCGCGAAGTTATGAGGTTTTTTTTTTTACAACACAGGGGACAAACGAGCATGCGGCTCACCTGGTGGTAAGTTACTACCGCCGCCCATGATCACCCACAACACTAAAGGCATTGCAGGTGCTGGTAACAAATATAAAAAATTACTACCGAATTGTGTACTCCTTTTTTTTTAAATCCGTTGTAAAACATTTAAAATAAAGTCGCACATCTTACGTAAAATTCACAACATAGTTTCACAAAATATCAATATAAATTAGTGTTAGTAACAAAAAATAACATTCGACCTTGAAGATGTGTACAAAAACAAATGTAAACGTACATTTGCAACGCCCTGTATATATCGTATAAGCGGAGGGGCACCGCTCTCTGTCCCCAATGTGAATATTTTCTATTGAATTACTCACGGTTCGGCGCACGAGCAAAAATATTGTTCTCCTCGCACTTATCTCGGGACACCCTGTGAAGTTTGCACATTCCACGTGAAATACGAAGGATGTAACCGAGATAACATTGGTTTCGTACTTGTTTAGTATTCGAAGTGTCTACAAGTTCTTATTGTTGACTTGAAGTTTGTTTAATGAATGAATGATATACTTTGATTGAATACAGGTTATTAGAGGGAGACTTTGTAAAAACGTCGATTGCTTGGGTACCTCTGTCCCATCCGTGTTTCAACCGTGAAGCAGTTGTGTTTGTATGGCTGTGTTTCGGTTTGAATGGTGGGATATGGCGTGAATTTACTGGGTACAGAGGTAACATTGCTAACACCTGAGTCCTCAGGAATGGCAACGCATGGGGGGTATCATGGGGGAAATGTTATGTCCTTGGTACTGCTCATGTCTATAGGCGACGGTTACCACTTTCCATCAGATGGGCCGTCAGCTTGTTTGCTATTCTAAGTTGTATAAAAAAAAATCTTAGGTCTAGTCAAATAAGTCCTCTTTAAGGTGTTTAAAAACTTGTACGTTGTTAATGATAAAACTCATCCCATACACATACGGTTAATAATTAAATTAATTTAAAGGTAACCTTAAAGTGTTGTAAACAAGTATCCATTTCCCATAACAATTTACCATGGCCACCTATCTAACGGTCCGTACTAACTTACAAACATGGTAAATTAAAAGTATCGACATGGGAACAGGATCGTTCGCAAGCATTTAGCAACGGTATTCGACACGCTCGCCTTGTGTCATGGGGATTTCTCCCCATTGTGGGAGAATTAGGGATTGTTAGCACCAGATTTAAACGTGTACTTAGCATGTACTATATTTTTTTACAACACAGGGGGCAAACAATCATGCGGCTCACCTGATGGTAAGTGACTACCGCCGTCCATGATCACCCACAACACTAACGGCATTGCAGGTGTGCTGCCGGCCTTTTAAAAAGGAATATGCTCTTTTCTTGAAGGTTATGTTGTTGTATCGGTTCGGAAATACTGCTGCTGGAAGTTGATTCCAAATATATATATAATATATATATCATTTTTATGTATATATAAAAAAATCTCGTGTCACGATGTTTGTAATCCCACTACTCCGAAACATCTCGATCGATTTTTATGATTTTTTATGTAAATTTAGTAGGTACGAGAATCATAACATAAATTTCACACCGCTAGGTGATTAGGGTGTTACAGGAAAATTAATTTATATGGCAAAACAATATCTGAGTGTCGTAAGAGGCGACTAAGGGAATTTAATGATCGAAAGATGAGCGGCAATAGCCCTCTTTAAACATCACAAAAATGGTTGCCAACCCGCCAGCCAAGCATGGCAACTACTGGCAGAAATCCTTCATAAGAGAGCCCTATATGATGCAATGCCGCTGGTGTTGTGGGCGATCATGGGCGGCGGTAGTCACTTACCATCAGGTGAGACGCATGCTCGTTTGCCCCTGTGTTGTAAAAAAAATTGAGCAGTGAACAACTAACGGCTGGTATGATGACGATGATGGTTTGATTTATTTTATTTATGCGACTCACATAACAGAAGTTTACAAATACAAACTTAAACTATAACATGCAAGTACATTAATATATTGATCTGGTAAACTTGCCACAACGTGAATAGAATAGAATAGAATTTTATTGCTAACTGTGTACATACATATAGCAGTGACCATTGCTTTGGATTTGACATCAGTATCAACAGTTATACCCTATCGGGCATGAAACAATTTAAGAACAGGTAATTATATTAACATCGAAACATTCAAATGCTATTACCATTACTTGATTACAAATAAATATGAAATATTTGACAATACAATTAACAAGACAAAGAATAATCATAACCAAATTAAAATAAAATAAACATAATTTCACTTATATGTCAATTATTATTAATTTAATGAGTTTTAAGATTAAAGTATTCATTTAAATTATAAAAAAACATTATCAAAGAGCCAGGCTTTGAGTTTAATTTTAAACATATGCTTGTCCTGACATTTAATGTTTAAGGGAAGATGGTTAAATACTTTAATACCCGTGTGCACACATGATCCAATGATAAATGCGACTGCAACAAAACTATTCAATTACAACTATTATTGATAAAAATTAAATATAAAAAAAAAAGTTAAAAAAAAAACAAAATAAAAGTTAATTAAAAAGCTTCTAAATAATACATTATTTTAATAATTTAATATAATGATTATGATTTTGTATATGATATGATTTGGAGATTACATTCTAAAATAATCAGTATTCCCCATATAAATTTTATCAAAATAGGTTAAGTACTTTAACTTTTAAATTAATAAAAAATAATTGGTTTTATCACAAATGAAATTGTTGTAAAACATTATTTTATTGTTTATAAGTAATATAAAATTGTATTTGTACAAAATTCATTGTAAAATGCAGCAGGAGAACGTCGCATGACTTCATAACCGACCCCTCTTACAAATTAGTCACGCTACGGTCTAGCAAGCTTGTTACAATAAATATATTAAATTTAACTATTACGACAAGTAGATTTTGCTCTCCAAAATGGCGATTTTTTATGATATTTAGTTTTATTTATGTAACTTAGAATGGCAACCAAGCTGACGGTCCACCTGATGGAAAGTGGTTACCGTCGCTTATATACATACATTGATGTTTGAGATTATCAAAACGTCATTTTATCATCCGTTAAGTGTCCACTGCTGTACATAGGCCTTCCACATAAGGGGAGTTTTGCACGTAGTTTCCACACTTGACAGACAGGTTGGCAATCGCAGTTAGGCTTCGGTGAGGTCTCTCCGTGAGGCCTCTGAAGATCCCAGGAAGCATCTGTGCTTCTGGGCGGAGCTGGGTTGGTTGTACTAGCCACGACTCATACGCACAACAGCCCAAATGAGAAGCTAAGCGTGGAAAAGAGAGTCCAATTTACATTATATTACATTACAAGGGAAGTTTTGCATGTAGTTTCCACACTTGACAGACAGGTTGGCAACCGCAGTTAGGCTTTGGTGATGTTTTTAGAGGGACGCTGCTGCTCATCCCTTTACCATTAAGTTTGGTTAGTCGCCACTTACGACACCCACGGGATAGGAAGAGGTGGTCTGTTCAATGCCGGGCTCACATGATATCAAAATGAATATAGACTTGTAACTTCTGTAGACTGTAAAAGATTATAACTTGTAGATTGTAAAAATGATTCATAATCACATTAGATTTACAAAATTTGAATTTAAAACGTGGATTCGTAAATTAAAAGAAGTCTGGGTAAGAAAATGGCTAGTTTAATTATAACAAAATTAATACGGGAGTAAACTCTATTGAATATAAAAAAATAGAAAATAGAATAAATCATAATAATCAGGTTAAAATTATGTTTTATTTTATTGGAGGTACCTTAAGAAAATAAAATAAAATGAACAAATTATAACCATGTGAAGCTTAAATATATAATATAATACAAACAATTTTATGATCGAGGGATGGGCAGCAGCCTTCTTAAAACATTACCAAAAGCTTAATTGCAGTTTTCAACCCGCCTACCAAAAGTAGGAACTACCGGAATACCCCAACCTGATGGGGGATGTCTATGGTTAGCAGGTGACATAGGTATCCATCATAACGTTAACCTTGGGGGTTTTGCCAGTACCTAGTTACCATGCTTGGCAGGCGGATTGGCAACCGCAGTCAGGCTTTAGAGATTGTTTTAAGAAGTGCACTAAGCCCATCCCTCGCCCTCCCTTAGCCGCCTCTTACGACACCCATGGGAAAGGAAGAGATAGCTTATTCTATTCTGGGATCACACGGAGAGGTAGGTACTGGTACCTGATGGCGTTAGAACCTATTTATTAACCAATGCTGACAACTTTTGTAAGTATAAATTCTTATTATGTTATTACATTCCGACTATTCCTAATTTCATACTAGTTATTTTAATCGAATTTAATAAAAAAGGCATTATTCTGTAGGCTGTATTTTTAACTCAGAAACATTAGATAGTTTCTATCTTAGAATGTTAAGGAAAAGAAATAAAACCATGTCCTTAGAAGTTATTGGTTTGATATAAATTATAAATAAAAAGAAAAACAAATAAACAAAGGACATAAACCTACACAAATTGATTGGTTTCATTTAAATTTATTTTTTTCATTCATCACCAACATTAATTTTGTATTTTTATTTAATTAATACATTAAATTTGCATGTCTACAATTGTAAAGCAATTAAACAGATACCAAAAAGTTCTGTCACATGGCCTTTATTATGTTAAAACTCTGTTTAAAGCAAATAAATATTTAATTTAATTAAACAAAAGCCAAATTTCAAATGGATGAAGTTGCGATTAGCTAATAATTATAATGGAAATTTAAAATAAAAATGCTATATTTATAATAATTATTATATTCATTGATCACTACTAGAACTGTGATTATTTACAAAATAAATACTTAAAACCTAATATTGCACGTATATAATAATACTTAAATAACTAAACAACAACAACAATTTATTTAAACATAACCCAGAACAAGGTATTGGACTCAAAACCGACATTTCAATTACCTACAGTAAATTTTAATGAACGTCCAGTTCAGATAAATCTTTACGAACTTCACTTCGAAATTTTTCAATAAGCATATTTGATTAATTCATTTGTGGAGAAGCGAACCGTTATTGTGACTATAATATTGCTTGCTTTTTTTATTATAACCTTGCGAAGGTGTCACATCATCCATATCGCCTTCTTTGTCTTGATGAGCTGTCATATGTCTGGTGAGGTGATGCCTCTCCCTGAAGCTCTCGTTACATACCGGACATTTCAATTTTTCTTCTCTTTTTCTCTTATTCGGATCCGCTTGCGACTCACTCTTATGATGTGTACGCATGTGGTACACTAAATCTGACGTCATTCTAAAACTGATGCTACATTTAGCGCAAACGTTTTGTGCTGGCAACGAAAATGCCGCCAATGTTGGTGGTAGCAGTGTACTCAGTATAGCAGCTGCTGGGTTAGCTATTAAAGGATTTACAGGCTCTCTTGGAGGGACTGGAAATTTCATAAAATCAGCATTGGGCTGTTGGAAATTCTGTACGCCGAAAGGATATGATGATCCGGCTGGAAGGTACGGAATCTCGGGTCTGAATGGCAAAAAGTTTAATTTGTTTTTTGGATCAGCTTGTTTTTCTTGGTATTCCACACTTTTATTATAATTCACGTTCGCCCGTTGTGGTAATGATCCGGATTCTGTGTAGTTTGGAGACGAAGATTGCATATTCTGAGCTTTAAAAAAATTGTTACCGTTTAACAAATGTGCTGGTGTAAGTAAATTGTTGAAAGCGGCTGCCTTGTTGTAAGAAGTCGATGGTGGAGTAGCCGCTGAAAGTGGTGGACTCACTGAGTTTTGATAAAGCAGATTGTCGGGACTCATTGATGGATTTGGAGATCTAATAGCGTAATTAGAAACCTTTGTAAATGCGCTCTTAGGTGACATTTCCTGTGGTTTATCTGAATATCTATTTTCATACCTCGCTCGTGATTGCATGCTGATCAGCGTAGGATCATCGAAAATTTTATTCTTGTGCTCAGGCAGGAACTTAGGCTGTCTAGCTGCACTTTCATTGGAGTTTGGACGACTTCTTGATCGATCTGAGTTCTCAGAATCACTGCAATACATGGTTTTACTGGGATATTCATCAGTGCCGACATCTATATTGATATCGGAACCAAAATTTGGAGATATGTTATTGTTTACACGAATTCGGTCATCTTCGTGGTCTTTGACGTCCAGTACATTTTCATTTGAATATTCACTGTGTTTATAAATATCTGGAATTCTTTTCTGAGGCTGTTCCCATTCTTCGCTATTAAATAATTGTTTTGAAACTCTCAGTTGCCTCTCAGGTTGTTTCTGGCGAAGTTTTTCATCAGGCATCATGAGAAAAGCCACATCAAAAGAGCGTTTCGATGCCTTTCCCGGATTTAAAACAGTCGATTGCATATCTGTCTTCGAAATATGCGAAGTCCTTGCACTTTCAATGCTAAGATTATTATCTTTTGCATCTGGCGACGCTTCTTTATAATTTTGATAGCTACTTTGAACGTCCATTGTCATTGTTTTCTCATTTAATTTACGCAACACGAACTAAAACTTTCTACACTTTTATCGCGACGAAATGATAGAGACGCGTGCGTACTGCCCGACGGGAACTTTGCGAATGCGAGTGTAACATAAGGGTGAAAAATATATAAGTGGGGTTTTGAACTACCCTTAGCAGAGCTTTTGAAGTTGGGTAGGCGTGGCGCGAACGGCCAATAGTCGTATGGCGGGAGGCGTGAAAGTATCTGCCCGACCAATAGGAGGGGTTCGACGAATGAAGAGCAGGAGAGCTCAATCACCGGGTCAAGATAATAATAACAGCCGCGAATTGAGAGCGCATTGAGTAGCGGTAGGGTCAGCTTAACAATAGCATTATGATATTGAAATCCACGCGCCGCTTTTTTGCTTGTTGTAACGTCAACAAAAATGAAATATTCTCGATATGTCCAATTAGCATTCGTTTTTAATGCTACGACTTATTTTTTATTACTTTAATGTTGTACTTATTGTTAATTTAAAGTTATATTTTGCAATAGTCAAATATGTCACTTAAATTAGATTATAGAATGGTATTAGTAATTATTATAATTTTGTTTAATGTTTAAATGATGTAAATGTACATTTGACTTAATTATACATATTTTACTTAGATTGCCAATATCATGTATAGTCACTATTACACATTATAATAAGTTTGCTCATATAAATGTCTTTTAGTAGAAGAAAGAAGTTTCTTTCAGCCATTATTTCATATTTATCTTGTCCAAACATGGCACTAGAAAAACTCCGGCGATTATGATTGCAATAAATATGTTTTATATGTCGCATAAAAAATGATACTTCTCCCATAGTCGGCCTAACCCCCGAGTGTATGGATGAGATTGCGAATAATGCTATTAACACAGACGCTTCTTCTCAAATTGATATCTTACTCAAGGACACTACAAAATAAAATAGACCCAAAGTAGACGCAGATAGTGTTGAATATGATATGAAACTTGCTAAAGTTAATATACTCAAATATGTCGAAGGAAATGAAACTTTACTGACAAGAGCAGAAAGTTTAAAATTAATTGAAGAAGTTTTATTGAGATGTAAAAAGCAGATCCAAATGAGAGTTCTGTTCGGTAGTCGGTAACGATAATAAGATAGGCGCAGACGTTAAAGGAAAGCCATTTGTCAGATTTTAGCCATTTTTTTCACCATTCGTTCGCTCTCAATGAAAATCTGTTCCATTTATTTTGCGGGGTGTGCTAATGAGATTTTAAAGGTATATTTTTGACTATAATTACTAATTCATTGGCATTTACGTTATAGGTATGATTTAGAATTATTACAGGCTTTAATGATACATAAGCAATTTTGTATCGTAATGTTATATACATTACGATACAAAATTGTATATACAATTTAGCATATCATATGTTTTTAGACATTTATGCCAGTACTCCCTAGAGTTTATGTTTAAGTAAGTAAATTTAATTGATTAAAAATATTAGCTTTTGTGCAATAGCAATTTCAGTTATAAAAACAAACATGTTATATTGAAATATGTTTTTATTTTCACAATTCAAATTGCCAATATCAACAGCAGTCTACATAAAGAGAAACTGAAAGACCATTCATGTCGGCCCACCGTGCTAGCACTGTGCAACATCCATCAATCTCGGCAACATCTCGACGTGTCCGCCTGACATCTTATTAAGTGGGTGCGATAAATGCGAGGACACCATCAGCGTACCAATTGACATGTTCTACACTGATCGATCGTTGGACCTTTAGTTGGACATTACTTTTAACCTTTTATTCTGTATAGACAAAGATGGTATACACATGAAGGTGGCACATGAACTAACCTTATTTTAATTTAATAATCCTTTAATGTTGGGAACAGGGGTTTTTTCTTATAACTCAACATGCAAATTCTCTTTATTTAAATAGACTTGTTTAAAAAATCTTTTATCATCTATATCTTTTTCTAATCATTTATATCTTCTACCATGCGTTTTTGTGGAGATTTTCTTTCACCCACAACCAAAATATGAAACCAACTTCCAGCAGCAGTATTTCCAAGCAGATACGATATTGAAACTTTCAAGAAAAGAGCATATTCCTTTTTAAAAGACCAGCAATACACCTGCAATTTCTTTTATGTTAAGAGTGTCTCTGTTATGTTCAGCAGGTAAACTGCTTGCTCATTTGTGTGCTATTTTAAAATTTCTTTTTTCTACAGCTGGGCTCGAAATGTTGTTATATTTTCTTAACTAATTTATAATATTAACGAAGATTTATGTGTCTTTATTTAAATATATAAAATAGCATGGTAATTCAAAAGCTCTTGAATGATCAACTAATACCGTGCTCGTTTGTTTTTAAGAGGACGATACAACTTGTTGATAGTATATATTGACACAAATTTATAATTATAAAATTGGCTGTTGTTGAAAAAGCAACAGTTAAGCTTCTCACCTGTTCGTCATAGTGGAAATTGCATTCCGTATAACCAAAACCGGGTGATAGATTAATAAAAAAACGATTATTCTAAAATTCTTATAATTAAGTCTACTTGAATAACAAATATTCTTATTACTGCAGTGATAAGGTTGATTTGATCTGATGATTTTGGACTTGGTACAGAATTTTTTATTTACAGTTGTCCTTTCTTGTATATTGCTCCTTTAATTGCTTCTTACTTCGTGGGGATGTAAAGAAGTGATGACATTTATATTTTTTATACAACTTAGAATGGCAAACAAGCTGACGGCCCACCTGATGGAAAGTGGTAACCGTCGCCTATAGACATGAACAGTACCATGGACATAACAGAGTATACTGTTTCGCCCATGATACCCTCCATGCGTTGCCATTCCTGAGGACTCAGGTGTTATTCCTCTGTACCTTGTAAATTCACTGCCATATCCCACCCTTCAAGCCGAAACACAGCCATGCAAACACAACTGCTTTACGGATGAAACATGATCTTTTTATATCTTAGCAAAGATCGCAGTATGTATTGGGTTGACTTGAAAAAATATTAAAAAAAGATACATGTACAAAAAATAAAAAAAAAAAACAAAAACAAAATCAGAATGCATAAAATTAGTAAAATTTTTTTTTACTTCATGCGTGTGCCACAGCAATACAAAATGGCTACAACTCAGCTTTTTGCTTTGCCCTAAAAAGAGTAAAACACTGATATTCTGTTGTGCCCAAAAGTGAGCTGCGAAATACCACTGAAAACAAATAATAAAAAAAAGAAAAGAAGAAGAAAAATTACTTACAAAATCTAATATTCAGATCTGACGGACGCACCTACAAATATTTTATAACGTGTAGTTATTTAAATAGGTAAAGTGGCTGGGAATCATTTTCAATTTTTTTTTATATCCAACAAGTTGCTATGATATGTGTAAAGAAATCTGCAGCAAATTATCAAACTTTAATTCTTTATCGAAGTTACCAAAATATTTTAGTTGCCAAAAACAAAATCCGGTTATATTTTGTATGCGCTAATACGTTGATAAGTAATTGCGGTCACGTGACGTGTATTATCACACACACGCGCCAAATTGAAGGGGAGCGGTGAGATTCTGTTATCAATAAGTTGTTCGTGAACTTTTCCATTGCCAATGTGGTTGTAATTTAGATTTTGTGTCTTCATGTTTTTAAACTATTTTCAAAAGGGGGAGAGATTTTATTTTTTCTTTAAATTACACAATAGATTTTCTCGAAAAGGTTAATAACTTCATGACGAAGAAAGAAGTATTATTTTTAATATTATGTATACCTTGAAATTTGAAAATATTAATGATCCAGTGAAAGAATTCGAGATTAGAGATTTTTTCTAGGTCCTTTCTTTTTTGGAAACAATTCTGAAACATATTTCTGTAGTTCTTTTATAATTAAATACATAAACTTTAATAGGTGATGTGTTTTTTCATTAATAACTCTGGTGTTTTTTTTATACAACTTAGAATGGCAAACAAGCTGACGGTCCACCTGATGGAAAGTGGTAACCGTCGCCTATAGATATGAGCAGTACCATGGACATAACAGAGTATACTGTTTCGCCCATGATACCCCCCATGCGTTGCCATTCCTGAGGACTCCCTCAGGAATGGCAACGCATAGGGACATACCTCAGGAATACCTGAGGGCTCAGGTGTTATTCCTTTGTATCCAGTAAATTCACGCCATATCTACCCTTCAAACCGAAACACAGCCATGCAACACAACTACTTCACGGTTGAAACACGAATGGGACAGAGGTACCCAAGCAATCGACTTTTGTACAACGTCTCCCTCTGGTCTAGTTCACGTATAAAACAATCCAGTTTCTGTAAAGACAGTCTTTTGGCACTTCATTCTTCTGTATACGTCGACGGTGAACAGGCATAAAAAATATACTTGGTACATATAAATATAGAATAAAATAAGAATGAAATACCTTCACAGATAAAGCAACAAAAATAGTCCTTTAGAAATAAAAAAAAATAAAAACATTTAGTACATCAATCGTCATTATCACTTACCTGAGAAGCTATTGATCTTATTTATTAAACTCTTTGAGGAAATAAAAAATAAGAAACAATAGTAAATATAAACAATCGGACTGACTTGACCGATGACAAAATGTCGGAGGTCGCATCTGCAACTTTGATTGGGCTGTACTCCAGAGAATTCTATCTAACACCTACTGTTGCCGCAGGCCAGATTAGTTTCTGATGAAACTGACTTTTTCTGTCTCAAAGGAAACGATTCTATTAACTCTAACTCTGTATTGGATATATTAAATAAAAAAAAAAAGATCAACAATGATTCCAATCCGGCGGCAAAATCGTGAGTTGATATTTTAAAATTGCTTGCAAGTTTGTCTTTTAAAAAAATAGTGATTAATCGACTGACATATACGAGGATTATGTATTATTATTATTTTTACTAGTTATTTTATTTGGAATATATTGTATACTTAAAGCTATTAATTTCTTTTTATACAACTTAGAATGGCAAATTAACTGATGGCCCACCTGATGGAAAGTGGTAACCGTCGTCTATAGACATGAGCAGTACCATGGACATAACAGATATAACATATTAAGATATAAAATCGTTAATAAAA